TGGCTAATCTACATGCCTCCGTCGAAGGAGGCATGTAGTCTAGACACACTCCTACAGCCCCAATCTTGTACGTAACCCGGGGACTGCCTGTATAGAAGTTGTTAATTAATGTTTGTACATAAGGAAATAAAGCATATTTTTCTTTAAAATTGTTTTATTTATTTATTTTCTGAGACTGTAATCTCTTGTATAAGTGTTTAAAATATTAAAGCATTAATATTCTGTATGCAGGCCTACTGTCCTCTCCAATACCTAATCCATTAATGTACCTATCTTATGGCCTTCCAACAAAACCACCTTATATCTCCCAATCGAGCATACAGGAAAAGCTAAATTCTGCTTTTATAAATAAAATAACAAAATTCTTTTGTTTTTTGCTTTCTGAAAAATATTTTGTTTGTTAAGGTTTAGTATTTTGGGCAAGAGGATTCCTCTGTGTGTTACTCCCATTCATAAAGATGTTGACTTTTCAAAACCTCTTGCTATTTGTTCTGTGGAGAGTGAAGAAGGTGAAGATGGAGTAATTGTCTCTGAAGGAATAATGGAGGAATATTTAGCATTTGACTGCAAAGATGTGTAGGTATTGAAATATCAAAATATAATGATACATTTAGTATTGGTGGCCTGGAATTTCTGTTGCTAAATAATAACATATAGTACATTTTTTCTTGGCATTGGGATGGCAGTTAATATGAAAAAAGCATTACTTTTTCTGAATCTTCTCTTATGCCATCCAACTAGAGACATTTAAAATGTTTAAGGCTGTAAGGGAGGTTGTAAGTCCATGTAGGTCTAGTCACCTCCTTGAATTAAAATGCAGGACAATGTAGCACTTTAAAGACTAACAAGATGGTTTATTAGATGATGAGCTTTCGTGGGCCAGACCCACTTCCTCAGATCTTTAAAGTGCTACAATGTCCTGCATTTTGCTTCAACTACCCCAGACTAACACGGCTACATTTCTATCACTATTCTCCTTGAATTAGTAATTCTGCTGAGCTGTATGCCTCCCTTAAAAGTATTTGTCGTAATTCCTTTTTATAACTATTCACACTAGTTGTTTCTGTTTCTGGCCTGGGTGGTTCTAACTTAATAGCCAAGGGTCTGTTATGTGATTGTGAATGTTAAATGTATTAGTTGTGAAATGTGCTTGATTCTGTTTCTGCATTTGTGTCCAAATTGTAGTGTTTATGTAGTATTAGATCTTTCCATCTTTTTAAGAGCAATTTAAGTTGTTCTGGATTCACAATGAGAAAAAAAATTAACATTTGTTTCCATCAAAAGAAGGAAATTAGGAGTATGAGTTGGAAGCACCCCTTATTTTGTGCTTCTTACTTAATTTTGTTTCTATTAGACAAGAAATCTGTATGACGTGTTGGTTTGTCAGTTGGTGACAAATTAACTAGTTTGAAAAAACAAAATCACTTATGTATACTGATCATGAGTTTTTGATTAGTGTATGACAGGGGTTTAAAAACTTTATTATTTGGAACCTAAAGTCTGCTGCATATGCCTATCTGAGATAGGCAGAATCACTATGTGGGGTGATGGCCCATGCACTTCCTTCTCCCACATTTTTGTCTTCCATTTAGCAACAACTTCTAGAGGTTTTCAAACTATGGGGTGTGCTTCGTGAGGGGAAGGGGTACAGAGGAACATTCTGGGGTGCAAGCATTGTTTTAGTGAGCCCTGTGCTGCAGGACTTGGGGAAAGAACACCACCTCCACTCCTTGATTCTCCTAATCCTGTGTGGGCTGAAGGGAGCAACCAAAAATAGTAACTCAAAGGGGGCCCTCTCTGAGCATTTCTCTGTGTCCCCCTAAAGGAGGTGCGCTCCTTTTGAAAACACCTTTACAAATGAAATGCGTTGTCTGCCATTAGATTATTTTCTTCCGTACCCATAGGGATATGGGCATAGCTATTCCAGTTTGAAAACCTTTATGTTTTCTGATCAGGCCAGTAAGAGAGGAGTATTGCAGTGAACAAACAAACAGCAGAGAATTGTGTAAGGGTGTGGAGCTTTTTATGTTAAATATTAAATAGATTACATCAATGCTGTAAGAAAAAAGATACTGGAATTTTATATATTCTGTGTCCGTATGTGAAATCTTTTGGCTGCTCCATCATGTTGAAAGCAGCAGACATCTATACCTGTCTTATGGAGGAGCCTGAAACTGGGGTCCCTTGCCAAAAAAACTTTATTTTTGTAATTCTTTGAAAGTAAGTTGGATCTGTATTCTAAGAATTGGGAGGCTATTACAAACAGGAAATTATACTAAATCACTGCAGTTAGTTGCTTTCTCTCCAAAATTAGGGATTTTGTAGTGATGTGCATTGCAAGACTGTTGCCTAGTTGGCAGATGAATAAAAATAAGTGTCACACTGGAAGCCAAAGAATTCAAGTTGTAAATATTAATATAATCTGTGAGAAATATGCCATGTCTTTTTAAGTCAGTTCTTATAATCATGCAGCCAGCTGTCCTGACCTTTCTATTTTAACTTAAAAGATAATAGGACCAAAGTTTAATTTTATCAGAGGTGGACATGTGTAACAGACATATAGTGGGTGACTTAAATACATTAAATTATTACAACAAAAATGCAAAGGATAGAGAGCAGTTAAGTCAAGGTATAAATCTTTTCACTTTCTTTACAGTGATGAAGAGTTGCATGAAAGAAAAATGGGACTCTCCTCTGACAGACAGAAATTAGGTTTCCCTCCTATTTCTCCATACTACTGCATGAAGGATGCTGTGTTCACATGTGTGTTTGATGACGTGTGGAATGAAGTCCTAGGCTATATGGAGGAGTTAATCTGCCGGCACTGGGAAGGATCAGTCTCTGGTAAGGGTCAGTGTTGAAATAAAATTTGAAATGGATGTAATTTTCTGATGCTTTTTGGAACGCTTGAAATTAGTAAGTCTTAGCCTTGTATTATATACGGAAACAGCCAGGAGTCTGGTGGCACCTTAAAGACTAATAAATTTATTAGAGCATAAGCATTCATGAATCACAGCTCATTTCATCAGATGCATGAAGTGAAAGAAGGCAGGGATACATATATACATACAGGCTGCGTCTAGACTGGCAAGTTTGAAAAACTTTCCAGCTGTCTACACTGGCCGCTTGAATTTCCGCAAGAACACTGACGATCTCATGTAAGATTGTCAGTGTTCTTGCGGAAATGCTATGCTGCTCCCATTCGGGCAAAAGCCCTCTTGTGCAAATGCTTTTGCGCAAGAGGGCCAGTGTAGACAACGCGGTATTGTTTTGAGGAAAAAAGTCCCGATCGCGAAAATGGCAGTCGGGGCTTTCTTGCGCAAAACCGCATCTAAATTGACACGGACACTTTTCTGCAAAAAGTGCTTTTGCGGAAAAGCGTCCGTGCCAATCTAGACTCTCTTTTCCGCAAATGCTTTTAACAGAAAACTGTTCTGTTGTTAAAAGCATTTGCGGTAAATCATGCCAGTCTAGACGTAGCCACAGAGATTGGAGTGTTACAACAGGGTTAGTGAGGCTAATTCAATCAGGATGGACGTAGCCCACTTCCAACTATGATAAGAAGGTGAGAATAGCTAGCGGGGAAAATTACTTATTGTAATAAGAGAGCTATTCTGATGGTGTTAGCATTTGCACATTGCAATCTGTTTTTGAAGTTTTTTGGGTCAAGAATGGTACTTTCAAGTCTAACTATGTGTCCAGGGAGGTTAAAGTACTCTCCTCCTGCTTTTTGTATGTTACCATTCTTGTTGTTTTATTTGCGTCCATTTATATTTTTGCACAGAGACAATCTGCTCTGTCCAGTATACATGGCATCGGGGCATTGCTGATATAAGGTGGAATATATATCACATTAATAGATATGCAGGTGAACAAGTCTTTGATGGAATAACTGATGTGGTTAGGTCCTATGATGGTGTCACTAGGGTAGATATGTGGACAGAATTTGCATTTAGGTTTGTTGCAGAGATTAGTTCCTGAGTGAGCGTTCTATTGTGGGGTATTTAGGTGGTGGTATTTGTTTCAGGTTGAGAGGCTGCCTGTAAGCAAACAATGACTTGCCTCCCAAGGTTCATGAGAGTGAGTGATTGTCATCTATGTAGATCCTTGATGATGCATTGGTGAGTTTTTAGCTGTGGATTGTAGGTAATAGCCAGTGGCGTTTTATGACTTATTTTGTTGGATCTATCCTGTAATAGGTGATTTCTGGGTATCTGCCTGGCTCTGTCAATCTATTTGTTCATTTCTCCAGGTGGGTATTGTAGTTTTGAGAATGCTTGATAGAGATCCTGTAGGTGTTTGTCTCTGTCTAAGGGATTGGAGCAATACAGTTGTACCTTAAAGCTTGGCTGCAGACAGTGAACCTTGTGATGAGTTCTGAATGAAAGCTGACCGTGTGTAGGTAAGTATAGCAGTCTATAGGTTTCCGATAGATGGTGTTTATGTGACCATCATTTATTTACACTGTAGTGCCCAGGAAGTGGATCTCTTGTCCAGGCTGAGATTGATGGTGGGGTGGAAATTGTTGAAAATCTAGTGGAATTCAAGAGCCTCCTTCCCATGGGTCCAGATGATGATGTCATCAATATAGTGCAAATAGAGGAGGGGCACTTGGGGAAGAGAACTGAGGAGAAGCATTGCTCAAAGATAACCATAAAATATTGGCATACTGTGGGGCTATGTGGTTCTTCTGGAGATAATATTTGTATATTAAATCATACTTTAAAGCAAGGCTATTCAGCACATGGCCCACAGCTCGTTTGTTTGCGGCCCATGGATGGGAGCCAAAACAAAAAAGTACTCAATATAATGGTTTTCTGTTGATATGCATTTTAGTAGTTAAATTCCTGGACTGTCATTGATCATTAGTATCAGCAGAACTGACTTAAATGGGGCCTGCGTGTTGTGTAATCTTGCCTTAATCTTTGTATTCATTCCTGTGAGTGTGAAAGAAGCTATTTGCATATATATGCAACCACACTTAAGTTGCAGCCCTTGGCATGTGCTGTGAGTATCATTGTCGCCCCCAGGGCTTCCAAAGTTGAGTAGCTCTGCTTTAAAGAGAGATGGTCAGTACCTTTTATTACTTAGTTATCATTTTTTTGCCTTCCATAATTTCCAATATTGTTTTAAAATCCTATAAATAACACTTGTCTCTCTGTTCTATTTGGGAAACACTGCTTATCTTTGTCTTTCCACTACCCAAACATAACCACTTCACTATTATCTTTGATAATCACACAGGTTTGAGAAGATGGTATATGGCACACTTATTTCATCTTTTGACTAGCTACTGTCCTGCATTATCAGAGCAGAGTTATTGCTGTAGTGTATTGGTAGTGTTTTGTTTTTAAAAAAGCAGTAAATGGAGTAAATTGAAAAATAAAAATGTGTTTTACACTGTTCCTTGCCAAATTATATTTTCAAGGGATGTTGAAATTTCTTTAAACAACTCATAACCTGTCTGCCTGTGTGAAAAATCATGGGATCTATACATGCAGAATAGGATTTTTTTTTACCACAGTGTAGAAGAGAAATAAAAGACATATTTTCTTTGCAATCTTTTAAAGACAACAGCATCTTGATTTTTCTACTTGTTATGTTCATGTCTCATAAGTATTAAACAGAGTTCAACACCTGGGTGAAATCTGTCAAATAAGAACTTAAAATCTTTGGATTCAAAGTATTGCCCATAAAAGTGTCACTGTTGGTAGCCCATGGTGATGTGGTTTCCCAACTCTTCTTGTTTTGCATAGATGATGAGAAAAATGTAACTGTAGAAACAATGAGAATGGATCCTCGAAGTCCTTTTCTGCAATCTGAACCTCTACCATTGGTATTGCCTCGAGTGCCACAAACTAAAATGCCCTCCATCACCTCAAATTTGGTAAGCTGTACTGACCATTTGATTAAGGTTGTGTTGGAGTGACACTGCTTGATCAGAGAGGCTAATTTTTCTAGAGGGAGATTTGTGCTTCAATCTCTTCTTAAAATTAGAAGCATGACGACTAGCTGCTCTTTCTAAAACTTTCTGTTATGCCTCTCAGTCACAATTATTTTTATCCTGTTTTGCTGTTTTAAATTTTGTTGTTTTGTAGCCTCATTTATAATGGACCAAGGTACGGTGAGTTTTGGATGATATGGTGAGACACTTTTCATTGCTTGAGTTAAACTGCGAGGTTTTGATGAGTGTGCACAAGAAATGTTCTAGTCACTGTCAGGTCAGGCATTTGCAAGGTCATTAGACACTAGAGATTAGAGTCTAATCTCTGTGAAGTGGTAAGTGATCTACATTTAAAACATGTTGGGTTTTTTTAAAGAAAAAATTTAGATACTGATTCTGTCCCTCCATGTTCTACTTTAGGATTAAGCATCCCTAAAGTGACAAGCACCAAAAATGATATCTATATTCAGTCAGTTTTTAACTCAATCCTTTCCTTTTTTATTTCTTCCCACTTTTTTCCTGTATAATCCTCTACCTCATGTTTACCTTATTGTATGTGTAGTGTCCACAACCCAGATGTGTCCGCAAAACCAAAAAGAGGAGAAAATCACCTCAAGTATGTATGCTGGAGAGATTAAAGCACTATTGTTCTTACTATTGGTGTCATTATAGTGGGTTGAATGTGCCATTTTTCCAGATCAGTCTGAGTTACAGGAGAGGATTTTCCAATTTTGTTCTTGACACAAAAGGAATGCCCAGACACATTATACAGTGAGATTATAAAAATTCTCCTACAGAAGTTACGTATATCCATTTATGCACCATATCACAAGATTTTTTCCTGCAAATGAAAGCCTCAGTTGTGAAGCTTTATGTACAATATGTAATATGGTAGCAAATATTTTAAAATCAAAATATAAACTAAGTGCCATCATTTGCAAGACCAAGTGTCAACTGTTGTTTATAGGATACTCGACTAAGGTATAAGAATGATGTATATGAATATATTCTCCTTTGGTTGGAAACATTGGAAAACAATAGAAGCTCAATGATTATTTGGTAAGAGCAAGAACATGGGTGAATGTATGTATCATCTTCATGTCAAAAGTCAATCTGTTTTTTTCTGATTTGCAGATAAATGTCTGTCAAGGATCAAATGGTGGCCCTCCACGAAATCTGAATGGTTTGATGCTGATACATGGAATCCACTTACAGCAAAGGAATCTGCCTCTAATAGACAAAATATTGTAAGGGTAGTAGCTTTTTGTCTTCATGTTATTATAGTAAAGTCGAGCTTTCTAATGCTAGGAAAAAATAATGTACAGTAAACTTCTGATAATCTGGCACCTTTAGGACCCGGGGGGTGCCGAATTATCAGATATGCCGGACTATCGGAAGGGGGGGCTCCATGGCGCTACTGGACCTACCGGCAGCACCCCAACTGCTCTGTCCCAGGTGTCCCCAAGTCAGCCGCTGCTGATACTGATCAGTGGCTGACTCCAGGAAACCCGAAGTAGAGCTGCTCTGTCCCAGGCTTCCTGGAGTCAGCTGCTGGGCAGG